CCTGACCCATGGCCAACTGCTGTGCCCATAGAACCCTTCGCCACATCGGCCTTTAAGGTTCTCACCTGAATATTTGCTGTTACTATCAAGATCTGCACCCGTGGCGGCTTCACCCAGACGAGGCTTCCACGCTCACCACGGCGACCCTCCTACACGCCACCGCCTCCTTGCCTGGATCATGACTTCGCAAGAAAGCGACCGATTGTTCTTCTTGTAACCGGCCATGCGCTGCTCACATCGTAAATGTAGCCAGCGATCCAGCTTGCGGTGACGGCCCGTTATAGGTTCGACGCTCCAGCACCATCCATTTTCAGAGCTGACAAAATCGGCAGGTAAGTTGTTACACACTCCTAAGCAGATGCCGATTTCCATGGCCGCCGTCCTGCTGTCTATATTAACCAACTCCTTTTGCAGTATCTCAAGAGCGTGAACGATAGGCACGTTAACCGGACGTTTAGTTCAACCCAACGCGCCAGTTGTGTTTACCAAAAATGGCCCACTTGGCACTCGCCCATTGAGCGTCCGAATCCTGTAAAGCGAGTAGGACATCTCACCCGGCTGAGCTTGTTTCGAACCCAGTACCTCTAATCATTCGCTCTACCGGATAGAACTGATCATGCAAATGAGTGCCAGCTATCCTGAGGGAAACTTTGGAGAGAAACAGCAATTAGATGGTTCGATTAGCCTTTCGCCCGTATGCTCATGTTTGACGATCGATTTGCACGTCAGAATCGTTGCGGTCATCCACCGGAGTTTCCTCTGGCTTTAACCTACACAAGCGTACTTTACCATCTTTCGGGTCTTATCGTGCACGCTTCTGCTCCGCTCCGATGACGTGCCGGCTCCAACGTAGGTGAATCCACGCCTTTCTAACGACCACATCATGGGAGGGACTGGGGATGCGGCCACTGCTCTTGTGCTTAGTGCTAGACGAGGTGAGAGAAACAGTGGCATCTCACCACATCTTGAGAAAAAGTCAAGATAAGGATCGCCATTTATGATTTATTGGCCATCATCTTCAGCCAGCTAGCAGATCTAGCTAACGTGGAACGCTAACCCAACGGTGCTTGGCCATAAGCAATATGTTTAACGCTTTATCAACTGAACCAGGAGGCGTTAGCCTGTTGGTTGCGATCGGGAGTATCAACTATACATACAAAGCGTGTTCACCTTTTGGGGTTATGGGAAAATGCTCGTCCCAGTGGGCCTGCGTTTCTGGTAAAATTGGCTGATGACAGCCATTTGACAGTAAATAACCAAACCAGTGTTCATAATTTACCTGGAATACCCTGTAATATTACTGTTTTCATAAGGAGTAGATATGTAATACCTCAAATATTCATTTAAAAGCTGGAGTTCCTTATCAAAGAGTAGCATTAGGCATCTGAATGCGAAGAGATCAAGTGGTCAACTTTCTTCAGAGCGTACCTCATTTCAATCTTGACCTCGATTTTATATCCTTGTTGGTACTTTAAGTTCTGCAATAGTAGCTTGAAAAATCGGAATGGCTTAGTTCAGTAGCTGATGGTGATACACAGTATTAGGGAATCGTTTAACATATCATGAGGCTGCAATTTCGCAGCGACCGTAGCATGCTGCAAAAACATACGAGCAACACCGTCGTTGTGCAGTATCAAGCCTTACGTTTTTAAACTGGACAGTATAACCCTATGCTGGAAGTAGTTTGTTTAAACAAATGTGTCGAACACGCCATTCGCAGTTTAAAAGCCAGATGTGGGAATAGGAGCCCTCTATTCGGAGCCTTACATTATCCTTCAGGGAGATTAACTTAGCCTTAGTTGTAGGGCTTGCATGAAGGTTAGGGTTAAGCTAGGGTTCGGATTATAACTTAAATAAAGGGTTAGGTTTAGAGTCAAGTTAAGGTTTTGTGCCAGGGTTAAAACGCGAAAACAGTGCCACTTAATTGAAGCTGGTACGAGACCACCGATATTATCAAATATACCAATCTCATGTCCTACTTTACCTAAGATAGTTGCCATCGGTTATTGGCCACTGCCGCACTGCAGGCTGTGAATGGCCCGGAAACCATTCCTATCGAGGACATCTGAAGTTGGTCGCTTCATCTGCAGACACTCACAAAGCACAAGTTATCAGCACACTGACTATCGAAAGCTTCCATTTGAGAAATTTGACTTTACGAGGAAGCGATCTCATTTCTAACAGTCAGCTGTGATCGGGTCCGTCAAGCGATTGCCGCGGAGTAAGTTGCTTGGAGGCCCCAATTTTAAGAGCGCATGTTTAAACCTATCCAAGTATTTCAAAGTATGTTTAATCGAAATTGTTTCCGCGAAAACCTATTTGGCGTCGGGGTCCTATTTGTCTCCAAGTGGAGCTTTGAAAATTCGCAAACCTGGCACCCCTCAAGGGCAATCAACAAAAGGTTTCTTCAGAGAAGGTCCTACACAAGTACTAACAGAGGCACGATTTGTCACTTCAGAGTAGGTCCCGTCTGACAAAGAAACTGAAAAAAATACACGAGCGATGTGTTGTGCTTTGGCGCGTAGAGAATGGACCCTTAGTGGAAGTCGTATGATTATGAGAGGCATGCCAAAAACTAAACGTCGATATAGAATACATTACTGGTGTGCTCGTAATTAAAGAAAAGGGCCAGCCGAGGGAATCGTTTATGCCAACTTTTCGTACTGTCTGGTTAGAAGAACCTCGTGCAAACTCCCAAGTAAATAGTGACTCTTTTTAACTATCACCAGCTCTCCTTCACTCACCAGCGCTAATCAGGTAAACCCCAAGGAGACGCGACCGCAAGAATGTCCTTTGCTTTAATTTTCAGATTCGCACATAAATCTCTCATCATAGACAGCAACATATATACAGTAGATTTTATATCCCATGAAATTACAAAATTAATTGCGAAATGCGTTGCCGATTCGCCCAGTTATACCTATCTGTATACTTAATAAAAGTCTTGCCTGCCTCTGTGTAGACCTCCATTA